GTGTTTGGGGACGAAGGTGAGAGTGAGTGGGTCCTTTTGGGAGAGCAGCTGAGGGACTCCCCATCCTCTCGTTTAGATTTTGTATAACTTTAGTGCACTTGGGGGACACACGCATTTTTAGAGGGAGAGTTCAATTTTGATAGTGTTTTGGATAAAATTCTTTTGTTTTTCCTGAGATAAGGGTCTCGCTCTGTTGCCCAGGCTGTAATGTGGTGGCATCATCATAGCTCACAGCAACCTCAAACTCCCAGGCTCAAGCGATCCTCTCTGCTCAGCTTCCCAAGTAGCAGGGACTATAGGTGTGAGCCACCCCATGCCCTGCTGATTTTTTTTTTTTTTTTAATAAAGAGGGGTATCTTGCTATGTTGCTCAGGCTAGTCTTGAACTCTTGGCCTCAGGCGATCTTCCTGCCTCAGCCTCCCAAGGTGCTGGGATTGCAGGCGGGAACCACCTCACTTGGCCATGTACATAGGTTTTATCCCCTAGTGGCCTGCCTCTGAATGGTGTTGGCGTTTCAGCTGGCAGGGCCTATTGCCTGGTAGACTTTGCCGTAGAGCGGTGGGTAGTCGTCCCCTTCGATGCCCGTGAGAGCTTTGCTCTCAGATGCCATCACCTGCAGCAGCAGCAGCCCTGCCTTCCCTAGGCGCTCGTGTGTACTCAGGGAAAAGCCTCTGGTCTCAGTTGTGCAGAAGGCCTTGGCCTGTGTGCATGTGGGTAAGACAGGACAAGGGTCATCTTCGCAGTCCTGCGGCCACACCTGCAGCCTGGAGTCGACAGGCTCCGTCTGCCCCGCAGTCCCGTCCCGCACGCTTCTCTGTGCCGTCATCTCCGCGTTCCCAGCAGGCTCCCACTGCACGTTTGTTGAGATTGCCCCGTCCTCAGTGCGCTAAGAATGAAAACAGGATCCATGTTTATGGGTTGAGATTTCCACACATCTTTGCAAACCGAATGTCATAATTTACTCGGTTCCCCGATGGTATTTATAACTTCACAAGCCATTTCTAGACGGCGTCTACTGTTTCCATCATGGAGGGGTCTTTGAAGTGTTTGGCATATAAGAGTAATTGTAAAGTAGTTTCTGAAATAGAAATCAATTACAAATAACTTTTTTAGCTGAACTTTAACGTTTTGCCATTCCTTTCTTTTATTTGAACAGATGATGCTGGAGGGTCTTGAAATCCTTAAAACCAGTAAACCAGCCTCTGTAACCACAGTGCCGAGCCCAAACGATGAGGAATGTTCAGAGAACTCCACACGGGTCTCTCACCTCTAAGCCGTCACATGTCCTCAGAGAGCCACGTGGGTGTGTGGCCCTCAAGGCTGGGTGAGAGTCCCCCCTGTAGGTGTTTGAGTGTGCAGGAGGCGACACGTACACACTGCAGCTGTGCTTTGTAAGGACTGACGGACAGCTACCTCGGGGACCAGCATCGCTGGGAAGGGATGGACGTGGTGTCCCGCTTTCTTGCGACAAGGTGGTGTTTTCCTGATAAAAGGGGGGGAGTAAAGACTGTACGAGCAACAGTAGTTGCCAGAGAGAAAATAAGAACTAGATACATTTTATAATTTTTATGAGGGAACATCTGTTAACTGTAGAAAACATTTTAAAGGTATGTTTGTTAATAGTAAAGAACATATGGATACTCCGAATCCACACTGAATCCACTAGTGAAAATGGTGTTTTTTAAAGAACAAGATCAAAAGGGCTTCTTTGGAATTATGTCATTTTAGTAACTTCTGTTCCAGAGAAATGGAAGGTCTACGGGCCTTTTCAGCAGCACAGTTTAGTGTCACGCAGGTCCCCTTTGTGACTGATAATGAGACAGTACAAGATAATGAAAAAACAAGGCACAAGACCAGGTTTTAAACTTCAGATTGTAAATTCCAAGCTTTCCAAGTCTTTATTCTCTGGGGTAAGGCTCAAACTTTCTGTTCTTATCTCTTAAAAATCTCTTTCCATTGCCCATATTGAGGGGGTTTGCACACAGTGAGTTGGGCAGACCTTGTAAAGGGCCTTGCAGCACGTGCAACGTTCCCAGAGGCTACCCAGGTGGGAACAGCCACTCTGGCTGCGCTGGTGCCCGGGAGCTTCTCTGATGGTGCCTGTGGCAGAGGCTCTCGGGGTGGTACAGTGAGGTCTTTGAACGAAGGGTTGTCTTTGGAAACAACAAGCCCTGCGTGGTTTCAGCTCGAGGCTGCTCATTTTGAGTGACATTTCTTGCCAAGCCCCGTGACCCTCACTATTGATGGCACCGCAGCTGCCACAGGTGCAGAGAAAGTTGTTAATAAGAAACACAAGGTTGGGGTATGTAGGGAGTGAGAAGCCAGAGACCTGCTGCAGACTTTTTTTTCCCCTTTTTGAAGCATGGAAAACAAATTTTTATGCCACTCTGGTCATAAATAAATTTTTAACTTTAACCCTGTGTGCTCAAGGTTTCTTTAGTTATCACGAGGGTCGCTATCACATATTTAATGAGAATTTTTAGCTGGAGTTGCTACCCAGTTGTGAAATCAAGTAAATGATTACTTGAATGTGTTTAAATTTTTTAAACAGCAAACAGTATATCCCACTGCTTCACTTGAGTAGCGTTAAAAAAACCAACATTATAAATTGTATTTTCAAAGACACACTTATATAGTGTGATCAGGGATGGATATCTGAAAGTTGGCCACAGGGTATAGAAAAATTCTGAGCATAGAGGGTTCTGTGGAATAAACTGGAAAAGTTAGAGCCCATTATATGAAGAGCTTTGAATGCCGTGCTGAAGGACCTGAGGCGATCTTGCTGTAATGAATGTATGTATCTAGTCAGTTCTGTTGCATGCTTGTTTTAAAATGCAAGTTTATTCCAGTGAGTGATATATTAGAAACACCTTGAGCATAATGCATTTGTTTATGTATATAATTTTGTCAGTGACATTAGGTCAGGGGATGACAAAGTATGGCCTATTGGTTCACTTTCTCAAGCTAGTGTAGTTGTTACATTTTACAGTTGCATTTAAAATAGTTATACAAGTACCTACTGAAGAGCCTCCTTACTGCCTCGCCAACGCCTGAAATATTTACTGTGGCCCTTAAAGAAGTTCGCTGATCCTGGCACTAAGGGAATGCGGTAAACTGCACCCAGCTGCGTGGAGCTTCAGACGAACACACCAAACTCAGCCTGCTCAGCCCGCAGTCGCCTACCAGCGGTTCACGAGGAGCCACGCCCTCCCACGGCAGGTGTGAGCGTTTGGGACAACGCTCCCTCCACCCCTTCTGACACCCACTTCCACAAATGGACTTTAGGGCTTTTTCAAGATAAAGTGCCATATTAATTTTAGTATTTGTGTATTTCTTAACCATTTAAAGTATCTAAAATCAGCAATTTTTATTAGGTTGTACCTATTTTGAGTGCAGTACCCCAACTCTTTTTCTGTAACCCTGTGATTTTTATTGCTTTTATGGTTTTATACTTTTGCATTACATGGTGGTTTTCAGGAATGTGGACGTGTCGCATCGGAACGGAAATGACTGTACTAGGTAGGATTGCTGACAATCTGAGTCAAAGTTATGAAAAAATGAGAACAGCCCAGGCAAGAGATAAGGGACACAGAGGTCATGTAGCATTTAAAGGAACACTTCATTGTTAAAGCTGATGTCTTTCAAGGCAGAGAAAGAAGCAGATGATAGGGTGGTAGTGCCAATACTATAAAACAGGACAGAGGAGGAGGACAAGAGACTGGCTTCTGCGATCTGCAGTTCAGAGAGCAGCTCTCTCACTGTACTGTAAGCTTCTTCAGAGCAAGAACCAAGTCTTTTTGAGACTTAATTTCTTAAGCACAGAGTGCATTCTGTTGTTAACGCAACAGTGAGTTGTTCAAAACTGATTCCGTTACTTCTGGAGGCTACTCCTTGGTTAGCACTTGGGCCCAAAGCAGTCTTTTTTTTTTTTTCTTTCTTTTTTGTGGTGAGCAATTTGGTTTCACCAAAGCAATCTTAGAAGATCACCCCAGAATTGTCTTGTTCCATTTTGAAATGGAAATGAAGTACTATTAAAAAGTGTGCAGCTTTCTTTCCTACACGTATGTATTTAAGTGGAGAAGTCAGCTGTTACTTGAGAAAGCTTGTATTCTTCAATATTTCCTTAACAGAAATTATACTCAGAAAAATTTAGATTGCATTGAAGCAGACATATTTCAATTTCACCATTAAAACTTTTTTGGCTTCTAAAATGGTACACTGGAGACATCTGAAATTAGAATATTTTTATTGATATTTTCAATATTGAAAAAGTTTGTCTGAAACAATTTCCTTAAAAGCCAGGTTCAACAACTTATTAACCACCCTATAACTAGTACATTTAAAAAAGAGTTTTCCTTAAAGAGTAGAGGTGCAAGGCAAGACCAGAGTGAAGACTACTGGAATGGGGTCTGAATAGTCCTTAACTGAAGTGAGCTATAGCCTCTTTGGCTAAAACAACTGTGATTTTCCTTAAATGGCACACCGCTGGTCCTGCTTGCTTCAGAATACTGCTTTTGAGGAGCCGTTGGGCTATTAAGGGGACTGAACAGTGATGCACCTGACCACTACAGGGCTGCTGGCTGTTCGAGGGCACGCCAGTTCCTAAGAGGACTCTTGATGGCTCTTGCTGCTCTCTCGGCCTTCAGTGTCTGGATACTGAGAAAGATCTAGAGTCAAAACTCGGCTGAACATGCAGTCATCTTGCTGAAATGGAGAGAAGACAGTGAAAAAATTCAGTTCCCCTAATTAGGGAAAAAGTATTAAAGTAAAATAAGGGCCATTATTGAATCAGGATTTGCATTAAAAAGGAACCTTCTTTTACGCAAAAGGTATCAATTATCTGCATTTATGTCAGGTTTTTTCTGTATTATCTGGTAGGAGAATTTCCATTTATCTTGCGGCATGTTTCCAGGTGGTCCCCTAACATACTGTAGGCACAGGAAGGTAAATTAATTTTTATTTTTGCTTAAAGGAAACCTCAGGAAGTAAAAACTATCCAAAAACTGATGACTTGAATTAGTTGCTCCACTCCATTAGCTCAGGTAAGTATTTTTGAGTGGCTTAAAGGTGTGTTCAAATTCTAAAATTTACTATACAACCTGAAACTTCTAGTGAATTTTTTTGTTTTTTCCTCTGATGTTTTTGGAAGATAAACGGTTCCTTGTTCTACTACAGTGCATTTGTTTTTTGTTTAAAACATTCAAACATTACGGAAACATGAAATACAATATTAACAGTTTACTGTGTAAGTTAATGCATACTATTTTACAAAATGAAACTAATACACTGTTCTGTAACTTTCCATTTGCTTCTTTCACTTAAAATATATCTTAAATCTCTATGTACTATCATAGGAAAATAATCTGAGTAGTTACTTTTAAATCTTATTTGATTAAAAAGTCATTTAAGCCTCAGACTCCATTTGGAATTGTTAATTATAAAAGGAAGACGTGTAGCTGTCAGGGTGCTAAGAGGAGTTTACAGTGGCCACTCCACTCCCCCTCTCAATTTATCTTTACCTCGGGATAGATGCCTATTAGTGCGTCAGCTTTGGAATAGAACTCTTCTTTTAGGGAAATGATTATCATCTGAACCTGTTCTTGAGTCTGCTCTTTGATGTAACTTGACACCTGGGAGGAAATAAGAAAAGGCCTCGTTTGGGCTCTGGGGACAGTGATTTCACATTGTCTCTTGAGTTTGCCCATTTTAAGTGACAAGGACTTACTTGCCTTTTTTTTTTTTTTTTAACAGTATCAAGAATAATCTTTATTAAGACCACAATTAGTAAAAGGTTATTGAGACAGAGTCTCGCTTTGTTGCCTGGGCTAGAGTGAGTGCCGTGGCGTCAGCCTAGCTCACAGCAACCTCACACTCCTGGGCTCAAGCGATCCTCCTGCCTCAGCCTCCAGAGCAGCTGGGACTACAGGCATGCGCCACCATGCCAGGCTAGTTTTTTCTATATATATATATTTTTTAGTTGTCCAGATCATTTCTTTCTATTTTTTAGTAGAGACGGGGTCTCGCTCTTGCTCAGGCTGTAGTTGCCTTTCTTGTATGTAATTCGATAAATTCACCACAACTGCAGAAATGGGAATAGCTTAGATTCTAAAAGAGCTAAGTAAAAAAAACAATAAACTTTGTTAAATCTGTGATTGAACTTTTAAGAACATTTTAAAGAATAAAGCTTCACCTTAAAATACTATCATGTGCATACGCAATTAGCCTTTATAACAAAACAAAAACTCTAGATATTTTTTGAGGGTGAAGAAGGGCTGGTATTTAAATTTCCAACTTCCTATTTTGCCAGCTCAAAGCCTGAAGATGGGAAAGGTGAGGCAGTTAGGTGTGTTGCGTGATCCATAGTTAAGTCACTGGGGTAGAGGTGAACTCCGGGCTCCTTCAGGAAGCTCAATTCCAAGGAAATGAGAATAAGCAAAACAGACTCAATAGAAATGAGTCTTGGTGAACAAACTACTCAGAACTTGGAGAATGAAAGAACTTAGACTCAAACTATCAACAGTC